GTCTACTAACAAACATAAATAGCTGCTTTATCTTGCATATCTCAATTCATGACGTCATTCAATACACTACTTAGGCTTTTAAAGGTTCAGTTTATCACCACTAAAATAACAAAAAATACAAACTGAATTTTCCAAAAAATGATATTTTCTGTTACTCCTGTAGGCATGAAGTCCCCACTACCAGCAACCACTACTCCCGTGGTTCCAATAGCTCCAGTTACACCCGTGGTCACTCCCGTGGTCACACCCACAACCATCGATTCTGAAAACACTAAAAATACTCAACAAGAGACACCATTGAGGCGAGAGAAACCACCAGTGCCACAGAAACCCAAGAATTATGCTGCTTCTATCAACGACAGGCGGGCAGTTAATGATCAGAGAGCGTCCTCACTGTCACAGAACAGGCGATCACAACCACATGACAGTTTTAAAGATGTTAGTGGGGAACTTAAAAATATGTTTATTCACAGTAATGGCAGTCATACACAGCAACAAGGTATTGGACCAACAAGAGGTGGTAAAGTAGCACACGTATGAGATCAGAAATAAACACAATGCTGACATGATGAAATCTGGAAGATGTAAATGATGTTCAACACTGCCAACTTGTTATTTTTGTCCGTCAATGTTTGCACTTAATAAATCATAATCAAGAGGATGAGCAGTTAATATTCAGCCATGACTAGACTTAATATCAGACAGCTGATAAGTACTGGTACGAGTTGATTGTAAATATGACAAAAATGTACAAGATTGATTGTGGTGTCTGGTACAAATGTGTTTTCTCATCACGATTATGAGTATGGAGCGCTTCGTGTTATGTGTGATGCTGCAGAATAAACATGAGGTGTTTGTTATTTAAACAGATTTCTATATGAAGGAACATAAAGTAAGTTATAACACTGAACATGTATGATATAGAATATTTCATAATATTGGTCCCACTCGCAGTATGTAAAGACTTTTACGACAAAACATATGAAGTAAAGTGACATGAATTATGTGAACATATTCTTTCCAGTCACAGCATGTATGAAAACTTTTATATTCAAGGCGCCATAGATCTAAATAAACAGATCCATATCAACAATACTACACAAGACATGGAAAAACTTGCACAGTATGTGAAGTGAACAGATTCTTGCACTAGGAAATGTGGATGTGGCATGCTACAAAAAGCTCAACGTGAAATTATTGTGTACCGGTAATCTAAATCATGTGAACTAATTAATTGATGTCAAATTTGAACTTGACCATGTATGGGGTTTGCAGTATCTTGCCATGAAACTGCTGACTCATTGGTCGCTCTGGTCTGTTGTGTTAACATGTGATCTATGTATAAATCTGTACATATTTACTTTGTGTGATATTTTTTAATGATTTCTTGTATAAATAAGTGAATGTGTTTTTTTGTAACTGTCCAAGATTTTAGTGTGTCGCGTAGTTAATACTTGTGTGCTTGGTTGGAGTTATGAAAATTCTGTTTTTGTTGAGCATATCTGTGGTGCTGTATCCAACTATTTGTAGTCGTATTGTATGATTGCAAGCAATGCAGTTTGTTATGATGCAAATTGTGTGTAGTCGAGTATCTGTTATCGTTTTATATCAACACTGACACTGTCTATTGCAGCTGAGTTCTTGTACATGAAAAAATGAACACTGCCAAAAATTATGTTTTCCAGTATTAGAACTCGAGTGCAGGTACCAGTATTTCATAGTAGATGTTAACACTGCTTCCATGTAATATATTAATTTACCTGCTATGCAAGGTATTTATTTTGGGGAATAATTCAATGATACTAAATTAATCCAATGTTCCAACACTGATCGCATGAAATCTGCAAAAAATATTTCAATAATTACAGAATCAGAATTTTATTAATGATTAATCATAACTGCTAATCTCAGAAAATTATGTAAGGTACTATCTTTATCCAATGAAATGTACGTACTTAAGCTTTTTTTTTATTTTTTAGATTGTATATATTTTTTTTAATAAAACTGAGAAAAGCGTGTAAATTGGCTGCATTTTAACCTCAAAGTAAAACAATTCTCAGTATCGCAAACACAAAGTGTGCACATCTTTGGAACGTTTCTCCATGTTTCGCATTGCGTCATGGGAAAAGGTCGACATAGACATTTGCATACCACAATTAAAGAACTGATTGATGTCCTACCTAGTATGTTTTATCAGGTATAAACTCGTTAGAGGTTGTCCAAAATATGGTGAATTATTTGAATAAGTGCAAATGTTAATCTTATTATAACTTAGAGTTCCACTCGGTTTAGTCATTAAAGAATGTAAAATGAAAATAGGCTCATCGTAGTATAAGACACAATAATTGTGGACAGAAAAATGAATTGGTATGAACTGACATTGTATTCAAGGTACTGAGAATTACCAGTTGGTGTCTGTCTCAAGTGAGAAGTAACCCGATGGCCCAGGAGATATGGTTAGTTTAGATTTTGACAATCTGGCTCTTAATTGTTTAAACAACAACATTTAGATGGGGAAAGTGGGAACAAATATTTCATGGGAATTTATTTTTTTATGGACTTACATGAACTTTTTTTTGCTTTTTGGATGATTTTTTAAAGACCTTGCACAATAATGTATTAAATTAGTGTTATAGTGACAGTAATAAAGTGAATATCTTGACTCGTATGGATATAATTGTTCTGTTTGTATTTTATCATTGTAATGATTTGAGGCTATGACATTTAGTTTCGTCATTTGCATAATGATATTGATACATTGTCATGGAACATCTCGTGAGTGTTTAGACTCAGTTCCAGGCCTAGCAGTTGAGTAATGAACACCTTGGTAATGCCGATGTAATGGTCTATTTATAGACAATGAGGGTATATACAGGGGACTTGTTCAGATCGGAGATCTCGTTGAATTGTATTGAAGTTTAAATATCTAGTTATTGGAGTAGTGGAGTTTTACCGCGTTATTGTACTTGATGTTTGCAGAGTATAATAATACCAGTACCAGTTGAAACCTCATCTGTTGGCTCCGTGTTCGTATGTTATCATCACCGCCAGGGAAGTCTCTGTTACTGTTGCCATTTTGGTATTTGAACCATCACACATGTACTATACCAATTACGGTAATATTATGTTGTGTGTGACAATTATCTACAATATATATGTCTGGTTTAGTGACCCAATAGAATAAAAATCTACAAACTATTGGGTGGGTACATAGGGATGAGTTAATGAATATCTACATTACCAGCTATAGGCAGGGTTGTCACTGGCCGGTCACAATTTGGCAACGTTTGGTCCAGTTATCATTGCCATAAATACAGTACATGTACAAGAATCATAGTATTATGCCCCTGGAGCACAGCTTGCCCCCAACACTGGTTCATTTATGACAACCCTTCACGGTTTCCGCCAAAAGTAATGTAATTAATTTTACTACAATAATCTGGCCCCACCTTATACCAAGACTTGCGTCTTGGGCACTATGTGGTAAACGTGTTGGCTTGTCTCTCTCAGTTCATGGATGACTAAAAGCCAGTCCTGCTACTGTGGCATTCTGAGTCAGAGTGGTGCGTCCTCCGACCACACATCACGCAAACACAACAAAAGAATTTTGAATAAATTAAACACAACATACACCTGCTCCTGCACACTAATTTGCAATATGGATTATTGTGTGACAAGGGTGAAGTTGATAAAATCATGACTAGACAAGGATGGCATTTTTAATAATTAGAGAATGATACAAGCAGCCTCTTTGCGGAGTAGTGCCGCTGTTAGCAATGCACATTTCAATTAAAGAAAGCTTAGAAATAACTCCTGTGTGCTGAGAGTATTGAAGACATTAAATATAATTCAAAATTTAAGATTTGCATTTCAATCGAGAAGATTAGCAACTAATATTTGTCTGCTATTTGCGATGCACAACATGAAAACAATGTGATTTACATCATCCATAGTTTTTGTCTAATTAATTCAAGAGCACCTCTACCACAAATTCAATTATAATCTGATTTTCTGAGATATCAGAAATGGGCTTATAGATAATCAATATGCATGTTTATCAACATTGAACTAATCATGTATGGATTACCTCAATGAACCAAATGAATTATTATACAAATTAAGCAATTATTATGCATAGATTTAGGTCTGTATATTGTTTCAGGGTGCACATGTACAAAGTTTCATCATAATGTGATGATTTATAATCCTAACTAAATTAATGGAAAGCTGAAAAGTAAATTAGGTAATTATTATAGATGTATATAAACCTAAAACTAATTAGATCATTGTGCTAGAGTATACATGTACCAAGATTCATCGAATTAAGAACTATCACAACCCATCTATGTACGACGTTTCAATGAAATGTGATTAATATGATCTGATTTTAACCCCAAACTGAGCAGATCTGTGCACTGTTCTAGAGGCTCAATGTATGGAATAATTATTACATGTGATATCAGTGTGAATGCAGAAAATTGGCCAATTATGCAAATTAGGTGCACTGATTTTAACCCAAAACTAATCAAGTCTGTGCATTGTCCTAGAACATCTATGTACCATGATTCATTGAAATGGGATCATTAGTACTCTAATATCAGTGATGAAGTAATGAAGTAATAGTACTTGGAATATCAAAAGCTGAAAATTCATTAAATATGCAAGTTTGGTAATTAATATTTCACATACCCACTGTGCATTAATTATCGTATGTTGGCTTCACTAGGATTGCCCTTAAAATCACTTTTGTGTGTCTGTGTCTGTGTGTGTGTGATTTGACCCCAAAGTTGGGGTAACTGTTCACCGGGAATAGCATTTTAACTCTTCTGTGAATTAAATAAATCATTACAAAATGAACAAATCTGAGAGAGGTGCACATATAGTACCCATATATGTAATATCAAAGCAATCGAATTTGCGGTTTTCAACAAAAAGTCAAAAATTTCACTTTTTTCAAAAAATGACAAAAATATTCACCAACATTAGAGAATTAAAGATATCATCACAAAATGAACAAATCTGAGAGAGGTCCACATGTAGTACCTATATATGTAATATCAAAGCAATCTGATTTGCGGTTTTCAACAAAAAGTCAAAAATTTCACTTTTTTCAAAAAATGACAAAAATATTCACCAACATTAGAGAATTAAAGATATCATCACAAAATGAACAAATCTGAGAGAGGTCCACATGTAGTACCTATATATGTAATATCAAAGCAATCTGATTTGCGGTTTTCAACAAAAAGTCAAAAATATTCACCAAAATTAGAGAATTAAAGATATCATTACAAAATGAACAAATGTGAGATACCGGTAGGTCTACCTTTAGTACCTATATATTTATAACATCAAAGCAATCAGACTTGCGGTTTTTAACAATAAGTCAAAAAAATATCACTTTTTACCAAAAATATTCATTAAAATTAGAGAATTAAATATATCATCACAAAATGAACAAATGTGAGATAAGTCTACCTGAGGCATCCATATATATTATATGAAAGCAATCAGACAAGAAGTTAAAAATATCACTTTTTACCAAAAATGATAAAAATATTCATCAAAACAAGTCATAGTCCCCGTCATGTTTTAGTGACTTTGTCAAACAATGAAAATATTTAAATATTGGGATAATATTTAGCATATTAACTACCGGTACAAATGTGCAGAAACAGATACAAAGACCAAGTTTGAATGAAATTGGTCAAGGCCTGCCCCAGAAACTGTTAATGACATGTCCAAATATTGAAAAAAAAACAATGACATGCATCAGTAACAAACTATGACTGATGTCAATGCCAAGTTTGAAAGAGATCTGTCAAGGCATGTCCAAGAAATGGTTGATGACATGGTTGAATTTTGTGATTTTATTCGTTGACAGTTGATGACATGTCCAAATGTTGATTTTTGAGACAAAAATGACTGCCAGTCGGTCAAAGGTCAATCAAATCAAAAATAAATTGATGTGCACATTATGACTTGTCCTTGTACCAGCTTTGAAGAAAATCTGTCCAGGCATCTCTGAGAAATAAGGACGGGCAAAACACAAGTCCACGTTTCGAACTACGTCCAATGGGGACTCATCAGAGAATTGAAGATATCAAGAAATGTACAAATCTAAAAAAGGTCTACCCAAGTAACAAAGCAATAATATTTGTAGATTTTAAGAAGTCGAAAAAGTAAAAAGTTGACATGGACGACGATGGAAGACTCTCATATGATAAGCTCCACTCGACGAAGTCAAACATTTCTATTTTTGGGTTCATGTTTGGCTAAGCGCCCATCCCCTTCAAAATGGCCCCGTCTAATAATAAATCATTTTCAGAATACTAGTAATCCTTTTTATATATACAGCAACACCAACCGCCGTGAATATGTTGTGAATGTGTAGACCACAGTAATCGTGTGCTTCAACAATGGCCTGTTAATGAAACTGAAATGTGGTAAATACTTCATGCCATTTTTAGTATTTAGAGAGTTTTCAACCCGTCTATCAGTCAAAATGACAATTTTGAACTGTAGGAATTAATCTGCAATTCAGCCAATGACCGAGAGAGAAATCTAGGTCAGGGGAAGCCGATGACCTCATAGATTTTCTTCCATGTCTTGCCTTAGGTTCACTTCCCTGTTTTCTCGATATAAGAGGACCAAAGCCAATTGCTACGGAAAGTGGAGTGGTTGGGAGGGAACCCAGAATCTATAGTCGGTATGAACTATGTGAATAGGCGGGTTGAAAACCCTCTGCCTAAATTCACTACATTTGATTACTCACCATAGACTCCGGTTAATCAAAATGACTATTTTGAACTGTAGGTAGAGTCAGACAACGAGAGGTGGTGGGTTTTCGAGCAAAACAGAGAAAAAAAAAAAGTATACAAAATATAAAACTTATGACTACCACTGACGAGAGAAACTTCTCCGTACAAATCTGTAGCCAAGACTGCTCCATCGGCTATACACAGGGATCCCAGTGGCAATTTAGACTGGGTCAATAATCAAAGTTTGACCCACAACAACATGGCACACCCTAAAAAGACCTTCCTCAATGGATAGCGTGTCTCTTAGGTAATAATTGATAAAGAGGATTTTCATTTTCCAGAAGCCTGTCCTAAGCATGTGTACAAGGGGGGCATCTAACGCATCACCTAATGAGTTTGCGATCGTACGAACCTCATGCGCTTGTACTTGGTGTCTCTGTTGACCCTGTGGTGAGAATGCCAATCGATCATAACCTCAAACACTGTCAAAGTGATCCACCTAGAAATGGAAGGCTGGTTTGTCCCGTTTACCCTGGGCATACATAACACATAAACATTTGCTTGTTGCATAGCAACTCAAAGCTCAAACCGGGCATAGAAGCAACTTCTCCTGATCATCCGGGCCGACAATATTGGCCCTGGGATTCGGTTCTTGGCGAAAAAACCTGATTGGTGTCTATAGCACAGCATCATTGTCCTTAAAGGTGGCACAACCGTCTGAAAAGAACAGGAACCCTAACTCTGAACGACCAGAGGCGAGAGCCCATTGATATGGTGACCATGAATCCAATGCAGGGGCCATATTCCTTGGACTTGTTCCTTCATTAGGTGCACGTCCCAACCTGTGATGGAGTCATTGCTATGGCAAGTGGGTCCAAGGGGACCCGTCTGAGGTTGGCAATTGCCATCCACCAGGGCAAGGCATCCCTCGCTTTGTTCTGGTGTTGCAACAAAGTGTTGCACCGGGCGGCTGCGCAGTGCAGCTTGGGGAGCTATCCTGCAAACTGGCATTATCCCAATGATGCGCGCCAGTTCTCGGAGAGACACAAGGGAACGCGGACTAGACGTTTGGCTAGACTGCTTATTGCTAGGCAACGAGCCTGCGATGGAAGCACAAAGCCTGCCTCAGGAACATGAACTAATGTGTGGATGTGACTTTCTTTAGATTTACTAGAAAGCCTAATTGGTGTAGTTAATCCTGTGGTAGCCTTACCTGCATGGCCAACAACTTGTGTATCAACCAGTCGTCTAGGTATGGGTTGATGTGTACCAACAACTGATGCAGCAGCAGCACCATCTGTTTCAACACTCTGGTGAACACGTATGGAGCCATGCATAACCAGATGTAGCACTCAGAATTTGAATACTTGGCCCAAAGGAGCGAGTCAAATGAGTCAGTGAGCTGGGTGCATCGGTATGTGCTGGTAAGCATCACTTAAGTCTAGCGAGGCTAACCAATTGAATGGTGCATGGAGAGTAAAACAGTACTTGGCGTCTACATGTGGAACCGATCAAGGAGCACATACTGATTTAGCTTACTTAGATCCAGAACTGGACAGCAGCCATCTGTAATTTTTGGAACCACAAACATGTGACTGGAAGCCCTGACTTACTGACGGGTCTTCTACCCTGTGTAAGGTGCCCTTTGTAAGCAAACTGTATACCTCCTGTCGGATAGTGTCAGGGGAGGTGGAGATAGAAGCAGAGTTTTGTAATCGTGCCTCACCACATGGATTGCTTAGAGGTCGGTTACCCGCTACTTCCAAGCCAGAATACATTGGCGCAAACTGTGTGCAACATGGAAATGTGGCCACGGGTTTGGTTGTTCTACATTGGGGGCAAATCCTCTTCAGCAGAGAAGAGTTCCCTCTCGGTTCAAAAAGTTCAGACTGTCCCTCGCCAAACACTTTCCAATCCCCCTTGTCGCAGAGGGAATCGTCAAACTCGCTTCCCCGCAGCCTGGTTGGGTGATCACCCGAGGAAGAGATGCACATACATTACAAGGCAACGTGCAGACTGGGATATAAAACCAGAATATTCTACATAAACTTTCACAAATAGAAAAGAAAATACAATAATAAAGCAATGTCATTTTTTAATGGTCTGACTACATTTCTTGTTAGTTGTAATAATTCAAATGTATGTTAATATACTATATGACAACACTTTTCTTTTATTCATTAATTTCATATTACATTGTATTAGTGCATGAAAGGCAGTCTTCGATACAAGCAAGTACTAGTAAACAATATGTCATACTACAGTGTACTATGTTCCTACAACTGTCTACACAGAACAGCACTGTTTTCTCCCATCATGCTAATAAAACGGCCTTCTTTGCATGATGCTACTGATCATATGGTTCCCTATTAAAATATATCAAACTGACCATGCATTTTTGTCTACAAGTGATTTCTATTATCAATGTCACCCTGAAATCTTCCATATGCTCAATGTATGTGCTTCTCAAAATGCAGGCTTTTGGTGAATAAAGTCAAAGGTACTAAGTGTAGTGAACATTAAGAAGAGCGTTAGTTGTCACACAGCATATGTATAAACAATGTATTTTACACGCGTTGTATACGTCACTACAAGTCCCATATTGAACAGGACAGGGCATGAAAACCACTGCCCTTTAAAAGTCTGATGAGTACATTGAATTTATTAACTGGTGAAAATTGTGCACAGTACATGATTCACTATTGTTTACAAAGACTCTCTGATAATAGAATACAGGCTTGTAAATGTAATTAGAATATAAGCAGCCAATTTGTCGTACATACATCAGGATTAATTCTTCTTTCTGCACAGTGTCTATTAACTGATGGAATCCAATTGACTTTGTATTGTTTCAAGCTGTTAAACAGAACATTCAGAAAAATTAGTGAAATTCATATATCATAGATTCAATTTAATGAACCACTACAATTTCAAAGTAACACACAGGAAAATGGACTATTGGCATTTAATGTCAGTTACCAGTAATAAAAAGTAAGTTGTGACATGAAAAAGTCGGTTAAGTGCCCAGGTATTTATTATACATAAACAAAATGTAGGGTTGTGGCAAATATGGCCCTAGAAGATTTTTAATGTAGTGTGTACTAAAATCAATGCATATATCCCTGCGATTCAGTTCCAGAATAGTAAAGTTAGGCCAGACCAAAAAAATGACTTGTTCATCGGACTCGCGCACACCTATCATATTGCATTTTGGATTTGTTTTTTTAATTTGCGTTAAAAATTCACTTCACGGTTGGTGGTGCCGTTATGAGCCTCTTGCATAGTGCGATACTTCCAAAACACATTCAGATGTACAGTCAGCTGCTTTATTCATGACAGCAACGTTGACTGCTATCTTTTATCTGCATTGCTACATCGATTTTGTTTCCAGGGTGATGGTTAATACATCAAATAAAGAACTTACAAGATGAGTATTAACGTTATAGTCTGTGTACGCCGTGAGGGTGGAAATGTTTTAATGCCAAAAACTCTGTGAATTTGGATCAGACATTTACTGATTATTTAAACAATGCATTCAAAATGACAGTCGATATTCTAAAATAAATGATTCCATGGAAAATATAGCAATATCTAATATTCATAATATACAGAACAATGTTACTGAGAAACTAGGTATAGGAGTTTTAGTTTGTGATGAATTTAATATGAAGTGTGTTACTTTCACTGTATTGCACACGACGTATACCCTGGACGTATATTTGGAATGTCAGAAGATAATATTTGTAGCCAGTAGAAATGCATTTTTAGAGCTAAAAAACAGTGCAAGTGGAGTGATTTTGCCAAAGAAAATTGAACTGCCTCATGATGGTAAAAAATGACTTAGTCCTCAGATTCTGTCATTGATT